ACTGTACTGTAAACGCATACTCAGGCATTGAAAGCTCTGACTGTTAGAAGGACTGTACTGTAAATGCATACTCAGGCATTGAAAGCTCTGACTGGTAGAAGGACTCGGGGTTTGAAAGCTCTGTGGTAGAAGGACTGTACTGTAAACGCATACTCAGGCATTGAAAGCTCTGACTGTTAGAAGACTGTACTGTAAATGCATACTCAGGCTTGAAAGCTCTGACTGGTAGAAGGACTGTACTGTAAACGGATACTCAGGGTTTGAAAGCTCTGCTGGTAGAAGGACTGTACTGTAAATGCATACTCAGGCATTGAAAGCTCTGACTGTTAGAAAGACTGTACTGTAAACGCATACTCAGGCTTTGAAAGCTCTGACTGGTAGAAAGACTGTACTGTAAACGCATACTCAGGCTTTGAAAGCTCTGACTGTTAGAAAGACTGTACTGTAAACGCATACTCAGGCTTTGAAAGCTCTGACTGGTAGAAGGACTGTACTGTAAACGCATACTCAGGGTTTGAAAGCTCTGACTGGTAGAAGGACTGTACTGTAAACGCATACTCAGGCTTTGAAAGCTCTGACTGGTAGAAAGACTGTACTGTAAACGCATACTCAGGCTTTGAAAGCTCTGACTGTTAGAAAGACTGTACTGTAAACGCATACTCAGGCATTGAAAGCTCTGCCTGGTAGAAGGACTGTACTGTAAACACATACTCAGGCATTGAAAGCTCTGACTGTTATTAAAAGGACTGTACTGTAAATGCATACTCAAGCATTGAAAGCTCTGACTGTTATTAACAGGACTGTACTGTAAATGCATACTCAGGCTTTGAAAGGAATGACTATTAAATATTCACATATCTATTCAGTCATCATTATTAATTAGATGCTTAGTGTCAGTTGGCCATTTGCTGGATATTTACAAAGCCATTTTCAATACCTTTCGTCTGCTTCTCATGCATTTTTCAAACATCGCATACCAGGCATATTGTGTTTATTTAGTCACTCATTGGTCATAGAAATCATTCAAAATTAATAAGGGTAAGAATCTGTTTTGTTAGCCACAACTAGCTTGCTATCAAGTTATAACATTTTCACCAATTAGGTCTTGTAATTAGCATGTATACATGTATATGTTTTCCTATCTTTATTAGGTGCTGGTGTCGTGACTACCCGTGCTCATGTTCACTACATTGTCACCGAGTTTGGCATTGCTTATTTGTTTGGTAAAAATCTTCGACAGCGTGCACACGCATTGATTAACATCGCACATCCAGACCACCGAGAATCTTTGGAGAGAGCATCCTTTGAAAGGTTAAAGGTTATGCCTTCATCAGATTAATTGGATTAATAAATGGAGAAGACAGAAGAATGATGGATGAGTTTTAGCATTAATCCTTAGAGATGATCCATGTATTATGTGGTCACCATGACAATACATGTTCTCAGCAACAGTTTCCTTAAAACCATATTTGTTCACATCTTGTCTATTATTTTAATAAACAACATAGATCCAGACATGAGTGGTGGCAAATGTAAGAAAGCTGTTGCTAAGTGACAACACATTCTTTCCCTTCTTCATGACTTTTAAAACAACAGTACTCATTTTAGAATATGGGCCATTGGGAGATTTCAGTGACCATCCAGTTTTTAAAACAAAATCTTGATTATATGTGTTGCATACTGTGATTAGTGTGCCGTAGATGCATGCTGTTAAGCTTGAATGTATCTGTATCTGTTCTATAAAACAAGTTTTTTACTGACAGAGCTTAGAGCAATATAAATTATGTGAGCTAAAAGAATTGTGTATTTACATTGCATGTATATTTACTTAAATTTTGTGAATGTGATTTGATAGATTACATTGTAGTATGCACAAATTTCTGTTCACTACGAGATCCTGCATTATGTGTGAATTAAATTAAAAACAGGACAAACAAAGGTCATAGCACCGTGGGAGTGTCAAAACATCATAAAAATATTTGTCAAGTATTTCCATGCTTATTAATCTGCTAAAATAATGGTAATTTTAATGAAGTAAGGGTATCTCAATGCTAAAAAAAAGTTGATTTTTTGTAGCAAACATTTTTGTTCACACTTTTCATGTGCTATGCAAAATCTTGTAGTGACCAGAAAATTGCCCATTCCCAAGTAACCCTTCAGTTATTATACCAGTATATATTTCACTGGTATACAGAGATTGTTAGTCAGACATTATTCTAAAGAGAAATGTTACAAACTTGGTTAAAATGATATTATGTATGTATATACATGTATGGTATCAATGAAATGTTACACTGTGTCTGAATGGTCAACTGACAGGTAATCAGCAAAATGTGGGTAAAATGTTGGAAAATTTTTCATTGCCAGAAAAAGTTTCAATACTGTGTCAGAATGACAAGAATGACTTTTTCCCAAAGTCCTCGTTAGATCTTGGATGAAAAAGGGCTGCCCAGATCTTGTTGACCTTTTCACCACCAGATTTCCTTGCCCAATTTTTTTTCCATTTTTTTTCTCATATTCTTTAATATTTCTGGAAATGAACCCTAATTTTGGACCATTTTGGACAATAAGTACGGGAGAGTATAGAACGCTATTTAAGTTAAAAACAGGGTTTATATGATTCTTCCGTTCTTCACAAGATCTCTCAGCCATTTACATCTAGTCTATTTTACCCGAATTGTGAAAATACGTACCTCGCAAAATTAAGGATGTATACAGAGTACACCTATGAAAACTGAAATATAAATTATATAAACTGTTGTTTGATTCTTTATTTTAAAAAGAATTTTTGTGTCCTGAATGTAAGTTTGATTTCCCCATAACAAAAATGCATATAGATTTATTTTTTTTATTTTTAGTATGGATTGAAAAACTAGTGATGTATTTTTTTGTTCAGCCTTACTGCACCTTGAGTTGATTCTCGCTGTCATAAAAATGTTGTTATTTATTATTTTCTTATAGTGTTAAGTAAATTGTTATACCACTTATTTTTCATACCGCTTTGCGTTTACCAACTTTGAAGTGTCATGTGTGCATACTTTTTTGAATGAGAATTTTTTGACTTGTTGAGACCGCTTTTCATAAGAGCTTGCCATTTTTAAAAGCCAAAGGCTTCATTTAGTATGTTTTACATTGAAAAAATGATATCATACAAAAAAGTGCAAAATCCATGATAACCAGAATACTTTTTTCGTCATACTTTTATCAAAGCCATCTTTCTATACAATTATTCAATTCAATAATCATGGGATTTTACTTTCTCATATATGTATGTTATTGTAGCAGATTTTATATTTCATGTAACTTTTGCAAAACAATTTTTTTTTCATACTGTTCAAATTGCAAAATGCATGTTCCCGCTTGTGCTGAAATTAAGAAAAAAAATTTAATTAACAAAGACTTGGTACCCATCGCTGAAGGAGCAAACCATTTGAAAATGTGGGGTGGAAGCTTTGATGATGAAACCACAGAAAAGATCAAGCTACAGTAATAAGGAAAAAACATTCAATCTACAAAAGCACTCTAGATTTACAATCCTCCACCCTTCAACATTTTTATGTTGCATTGTCTGCAAAATTTAGTTTGAAGTGTTTTGGCATGCAAAGTAATATGCGTAATAAGTAATATGCATACTGTAATAAATGCAATAGTTACAATGTTCACGATTTTTTTTTACTCATGTCACCACAGTAATCGAGCAAACATATGTACATCCTCAGTCAGTTGTGTTCAGTGGACATGATGCATGATGAGATTTATTGTCGTGAAGACAATAACTAATTTGATAAATGACACAATGTATCGGGTTTTAATCAGTATAATTCACAACTTTTAGATTGGAATTTTAGCCGAGTTACCCAAAATAGTAAGGGCTTTCAACTAAGTTTTGCCAACAATACAATTTTAATGTAATATCCGTAAATCAAAGCAGGGCGGTTACTTACCTCTAATCTCACAGTCCTGAATACACCTAATTGCCTATTTTAGAAAAAGTTACAACTCAATTTATTATAGCTTCTAAAATGTATTTATTGCACTTTAATATGCATTTACAAAAAAAAATATAATATTAGAAAGCTTTTTGGAATGTGTGAAGCCAGTCACTTTAATACTTTGTGCGATATGTTATTTATATATGAATGTACAACTAGAAATGTAACATTAAATATTAATTGGATGAATACACTGACTGTAAATGATGTTATTAGTATTAAATGATGATTTGTGTTTACAGTATTTAGTTTGGGACCAGTCTTGTGTGTATTATTCATCCAATCAGACATAGACATAGTCAGCCTGAGATATGTGCCGATTCCTGTATCAGCCTAGATTTTATCTATATGTTATGGAGTGAAGCCTTGCTGAACATATAGTGAAGTCAACCTTATAACAAATACTGATTTTACATCAAAAATGTAAATGGGAAAGATTGCAAATAAAACTCCCTGATCTTTTTGCACCATTTATGTCTTATAGCTGACAACTAAAATACTCAATGTACAGAAATATTGTAGGACAGCATGGAAGACAGGTTTCATCCACACAATTCAACAGCATTTATTTCGTTCTGTGTCACTACAAGATCACTTCAAATATTTTGTTGATAACTAAATGAGCCCAGTGAATATGCAGAGTTAGAGGATGGTGGTTGTCTCGCCACGCATGTGTGAGATATGGGTTTCATATGAACAAAGATGGCGACTTTGACTTGCGCAAACCAATGAGTTTTTTTGGTGATTGAACGGTATCAAAGCAACATATTGTGCCCTGGTCAAAAACTTGTGATTCCCATTAGAAGAGCGCATTGGATTATGGGAAAATCAATGTTTGTCAACACAAATGTTGAACACTGAAACGTTCTATTTCATTCACATACCTTTAAATTTGAAAAATGATGTACATGTATCCATGAAAGTTGTAAATCCATTAAAAACCTTTATAATTAAAAAAATAATTCAGCAATTTTGCTGTATCAAATAACTTTGTGAATTGGTTTATTTAAAAAATACTGTTTATAATCCCCCAAGCTATAGTAGAAAAAAAAACTTTGGCTGAATAGTAAATAGCCGCACCAAATGTTTAAATAAATATCGATGTTCCATGATTTGTAGAATTTCATACCGTATTGGTCTTTGACCTTTAAAAATAAATGGATTAGGTTCCTTAAATAACAATTCAGTCTCAGCGAATCACACAATAGTAAATCTTGTTTTTGCATAGTGTTCAACAAATTATTCCATTTTAAAATCTCACTGAAAATATCTATTATGAAACCCTCTATGAATTAGTATTATGAATACGAACCCGCTCCCACTCTGTACAACCCTTCACTGTAATGGAATTCCTATTCATGTAAATAAAAAAAAAACACGATAATAATCATTTTGCAACTGGACCGAACACTGATTTGAATCAAAATATTAAAAGTCAATTGCTTAAACATTTTGATTTTAACAAACATTCTTGAAAGACTTGTACTCGTTTGAAAATGTATATAAAACCTTCGACCGTAGAAACCATTACAAACCTCGTGTTTTATCAACAACATTTGGTAGAGAGCCCTCTAGGGCTGAAAAGGTATACAAAAAACGCCCCAATTGTTTTCATCGTGGGGGCGCGTTTTTGGGGTGTTTTTTTGTTTTTTGCATTTCGCAAAATCTCTTGAAATTTCTGTGTTCTAACTCTCTCATTTTTGTGTTGAGCGCATATATTTCTTTTCGCTGTTGTTCTTTTACGTCATGAGCAGTTTTCCTTGGCGCTTTCATGATATGTGTAGTGAGAACGGTGGTGGATTGCCGTTCTATTAGTTGGCGTCGCACAGTCGGCTCCCTCCTTTGCGGTACGGATTGCAACAGACGGGGTCGTCTTCCAGTCGGTCGACCTTGCTTTGGGGTAGGCCCCATCCCGTTAGTAATTCTTGAATTCATTGCAATGTTTTCATCCCGATTTTTCCTGGTTTAATTGCATTGCACAAAATTTGCGAAAATTATCGTTTTCGAATTGTGTCATGACTTTATTGAGTGCGTAAATCTCGAGTCTTTGTCTCTGTCGCTGTTCTGCTATATTGTCTCGCTGTTTCTGTATTTCAGCTCGTTTTGCCTCTTCTTTGCGTTTTTCCTTTTTCTTCTTTTCGACCATTTGCATATCAGTTAGACGTGACTTCACCGCTCGTTGGCTCTGCAAATAAAAAAACGACAAAAGTGGTTGTGATTACGAAATAACACTGCTCCGATACTAGTGTCAGACCACAGTCAACTGCGTTTTTTTAAGTGATAGTGCTGAGCATGCTCACACAATCGACAATGATTTCCTTTTCAACACCATGGAGTATCGCGTGGATTTATGGACGTGTTGTCACTTTCAAAACATACATACATAAAATAAAATAATTATGAATTCATTGATTTATCAGTGTATATTCACAATAATTTTGTAATAACCATGGTTACAGAAAAATCAATGTCGATGTAATAATATCTCTTGACTGCCAAACAGAAGTTTTATGACTCGTTCTTCGAATTGCAGTGCGACAGAATATTAATATAAATTATGACACGACTGTACATTTGTATATTGTTATTAATGATATTATTATAAAATACACTGGTGTTTTGAAATACTAATAATCTTGCAAAAAACTGCTGTATTATTCCCAAAAGTGACATTGCTGTAATATTAATAGTATCCGCAGACCACGCATTTTTAAAAGTTAATCGTATATTTTCACATGATTTCGCTGAAAATGAGAAATGAGTCTACCCACGGGATATCTCCAGTGATTAGTTGCGTGACAGCCAACCGATTCATCGGGCATGGCAGTTGTGCAGAGGACGAAAAAAAACAGTTCATTGGTTTCAGCAGTGTTGATTCCAGTCTGATATGTTTAATCGTGGTTACGCACACTTTTAACAACTTGTTTTCGTGTAGAATTAAATAGTTTACGACAACAATGGAAGGTTTATATTGGTTCTGCATCAATGCCTGAGAGTGAATGGTGCGGCATTATTCCGCCTCGGAGAAAATAGCAGGGATCAAAACACTCGTTTATAAGGTCACTTCTTGAAGCGGTTTTAGGTTTACTTGTCACTCTAGAAGTTATCGACATGATGATATCAGATTCTTAAAATCAACGACATAGGGTGTACCACACAATTACATGTACGTGCAAATAAACTGTATCCAATGACACACGTTCGACTCGGTTAACCAGTTGTCATTTATAATCTCAGACCACACTTGAGACCCTGTAGACACTTGAAGACATTTACGATGCTGTATTTGGACATTTTGTTAATATTAGCTGTGTGATCGAACTAAAAAATCAGTGCGGTCATGTGACTGATGTAATCGCTATAGGTAAACACAGAGAGGTGTTAATTTTCATGACTAAATAATAAAAACTCCAAAATATTAAGTCATACTATCCAATCGATATCAAATTACAGGAAGCAGTGAAAATATGCAAATGTGGTCATTACAACATTGATTATTGGTAAGTTTGGCGACAATTTTATGTCAGTACACTTATATTACACATGAAATCGTCACATAATACACAACATGTATTTAGAACATTATGTTCTAAATTACATCGTAATGTAATTTAGAACATAGTTGATATACCGAATCTAAAAGTACACGATGTATATTCCAGAAAAGCATGCAGCAACAAACATCTCCATCAGCTATCACAATGAGCCTGAGTGCTACTGATAAAACGCAATATATATGAACAGAAAGCCAAACGAAGTGTGTATTAATTAAGTTATCACGACCTTTGATCTCAGAGTATCTTAATTACAGAAATACCAACTACAATGTATATAATAGGTATATACAAAACATGCAGGTGAGGTATACAATGTACCATGTTTTGCATATAGATTACATTATGCCATCGTCATGGAAACGTACTGGTTGTTATATTCATAGTATAGTGAATTTCCGATAAAATAAAAACAATTTAGATTAAAGCAGGGAAGTCGTCATCTGCGCATATGTCAGACGGCCATAGCGTGTCATTGTTTACTAATAAGCGTCTACCCATGAGCCCTTGCGTTTTTTGCGTGTGTTGTCATCATCGCTTGGGACTCAATTCCGCGCATGCGCAGGTGACGACTCTCCAGCTTTAATGTGCTATTTGATATGATTTTCTCGTGATAAGTACATCTGACTTCTTTTCTATGTTATATCGACTGTACTAGTATTTACCGTATCCAGGGGGAAATGTTTTTGGACATATGTAGGGTGGTTGTCGTCGCACCGGTTCGTGTTCGATATGGGACCCATAGCAACGTACATAGCGCGTGTAAAATGCGTTTGTTTACAAGAACTCAGGACTGAATCCTGTAAATTTCTTTCTTTTTCAAGAAGGGGGCGCTTTACTTACCCTGATATCGCTCATGCAAGGAACATACTCATATTTCTGTTGTTGCTCTACAGTTGGCGTCGCTGGGGGCGCACATGGATAGACATTTCCACATTCCTTTATCACACCGGACTGTTTTTGAGACAGATACACCCGAGTCACGTGATAATCATCCAGTTTCCATTCACCTGTACCCGACTTCAATATTAATGAGTTTGCAGAGACATTGACGCCGTGGAAACTACACGCTTTCGTCACACGAGGCAATTGTTGACCGTAAATCAAAGTAGCCTGTTGAATGCTCTGTAGTTGGTTGCCGTATTTTGATTTTCTTGTGGGAGAGGGTTTTTTAATATCGGCTACTTGACCGCCCAGGCACATAGACACGTCTACGGGACAGTCAGTGTCCGTCAGTTCGCTGATTTCCACTCGAGGCGTCTCAGCAATATTCGTTGCTTTGATTACAGTTCGACAGTTAATCGGATGCTTTCTTGACTGGGCAGACTTTTTTCTTGGTCTCGATGACCTAGCTCTAGATTTCTTTCCGTTTCGATTAAAACATCTAATCTTAGAGCGAGACTTGTGTCTAGTCACTTTTACCAATGATCGTTCCGCGACAAGCGGTGACGGCGTCTCAATTGATTCTTCTGAAATGAAAATAAAGCAAAGTCTATAAGTTAAAATAGTTACATTTGTTTTTTCCCGTAACGGGTAAACGATTCACGAATTTAAAAGTTCAGCAGTTGAACACTAGGTTCCTTCAAGTTCAAAATTGTTATTTGACTGCTCCAGCGGTGAAATACAATTCATATTATTGAAAATGTCTGGCGACAAAATACTGAAAAAACATCTGTTTGGATGGAGTTAAAATGTTTTAGTCCAGCCCGTTTTATAT